GGGGGGGGGGGAGGATTTTGGACATTGGGGATTGTTTTCAATATATGCTTTTCACACGGTTTTTCTTTAGAGCTTGCCAAGCTCAAGCTGCACTTTAGTAAAAGTATCTTTTCTCTAACACTTCCAGAGTCAAGAGTTCTTTCCTAGGGAGTGGTCTGTGGCCAGTCTGACATTTTATTTATTAAATTAAATGTTTCCTTTGCTTAAAAACAAGATAGATTTAGATTTCTCTTGGCTGCATCTAAATCTATCTTGTTATTAAGCAAAGGAAACATTTGATATCATGACAGTATTAGCTCAAATTGGTTTCTTATTATAGGAGGATTTCAAACTTGACAGATATAATATGAAACCCCAATATTGCATAATCAAAAACTTATATTTTTGGACTGCTTATTCGGCAGTAAAGAAGATTCCTATTAGTGACTGTAAGTAATGGCATTAAAATCAGGGAACTATTTTTTTCCAAACGTATCTGTGAAAAGTGCCTTTTAATATTGACTAAAGCTAATTTTATGCAAATGAATTTGATTTAATGTTTTTAGCTGGCAAATGTTTATTTAGCATGTTTTTCTGAGACGTGAATTAAACTGTTGTTTTACAGCGGCAAAAAGTAACATTTATTTATACACACACACATACAAACCTGACTCCAAAAACCGTGAATGCTCCAACACTGGAGGTTTTTAAGAAGAGACTGGACAGCCATTTGTCTGAAATGGTATAGGGTTTCCTGCCTGAGTAGGGGGTTGAACTAGATGACCTTCAATATTATTATTATTAAATTTGTTTGCCACCCATCTCATCACATCACTCTGTCTCCTTGTATTTCTCTGTTGCTAAATTACCATTTATTAAATGAAGTTTTTACACATGATCCAATCCATTATTGTGCTGATATAATTATTAAAAACTACTCTTGTTTTATTATAGGAACTTACAAAAGTTTACCTACACAGAACTCTTCATTCATTATCATTTATTAATGATAGTAAATTAAATAACCTACCCAAAGGACTATTCCTATTTTGGAGGATATCAGCATTCCAGGATGATGGGCTGTTCTCCTCTGCCTGGTTAGCGGACCTTCTCTGTCTTCAGTTAAGAAAAGAAGCAAGAAGAAACATATATCGTACTTTGTATTTAATTTCCTACTGCTTTTATATATAAATTGAGCATAATAATAATAATAATAATAATAATAATAATAATAATAATAATAAACTTAGTTTGTATCAGAAATGAATTTTTATTTAAATACAAACTAGATTGAAGATGATGATAGATAGATAGATAGATAGATAGATAGATAGATAGATAGATAGATAGATAGATAGATAGATAGATAGATAGATAGGTAATGTGCCATCAAATTGGTGTCCTTAATGACCACATAGACTTCTTAAATGCACACAGAGAACTTCATCTTAGCCAAAAGGCCAACAAGCAAGCAATCTCTCTCTCTGATAAATTCAAAGTATATAAAAAAGAATATCTTTTCATAGTAAAATATATCCAGACACTTTTGTCTTATATTAACTATTCCAAAAGTTTGTAAATTATAACAACTTTTATAAATTTATTATTGCTTGAATAGTTTTATCAAACAAAATAAATTAATTCTAAAATCAAAGTTAAACCCATATTTCACAACAGAGGACATATCTTTAGGCTTTTTCCACTGTGCAAGAATTATTTTAGCAGACTGCAAATGTGCATATTCTACAAAATTTTCTAATATTTCATATAAGAATAAGTTCAATATTTACTAGTAATTGATAGCCTGATATTCACTGAACAATTAAAATATACACATTATGAGAAAATAGGAACAAAATCTGTCTATAGGTCTGTAATATTTCCATGCCAGTATTCATCAAAATCGACATTGTTATATTTAGTTTCAACTGCAATCTATCAATAACAATACAACATTCTGATTATCATGATTATGATTGTAGAAATCAATTTCTTTATTCAAAATTTAGTCAATTTGGCAATTGTCTATATTAAATTTGTTAATTTTGAAATTTGAAAATTTGAATCCACTGAGCAGATATTCATACTTACATATTATAGTTCATTATATGAAATCTTATTAGGAACTAATATTAAATTCTCCCCAGCAACACCAAGCTAAACATACTATTAGTTTTTGTATATACTTGTTTCTAATAAATCAGTTTGATATGCAGGTGTTAAGAAATGGAATAAAAAAATAAATGTTCCTATATTGCATAGACAATAGGAGAATGTCTTCATTTCTATAGCAAGACTGTCAATGGACCTCAACAAAAAATAATATTTTGAAGTTATTGTTCTCCATTATGTTTATATAGAAAAGGATTGTCAAAAATGGCATTTTATTGGAGATATAATAAGGATAATGCTTCTTTAAAACACACGTTTTTGCAGTAACCTGTACTTAACCACCTTTTGGGAGAAAGGAGTGGATTATATAAATAAGATTGTGTGACAAAAGATTGGTCCCTTGGTCATACCTGTCAAACCTGCCATAATTTAAACCTCAGGATAGAAATGATCCTTGGTTCCAATTGTTGAGAAAGGTATAGTTTTATTAAAGGTTAAGTGTATTGAAGTAATGCAAAGCCCTTAACTGTCTCTCATTTTCCACCCCAGTGTAACCAATTGGGTTCAAGCAAGCTGTCAGTCCAAGCACAGCTTGGTATGCAGCTCCTTCCTTCTTCCAACTGGGTGAACTTGAAGCAGCGTTTTGAGAAGTTACAGCATCTACTTTCGATTTCCCAAGCATTCCCCCCTTCATTCCTCCTCCTTACAGTTCATGGCAGTCTGTCACCACATCACCGTGAAGCACAAGCAAGCATAAGGTGGCAGCTGACAGGCTTACATACATAAGATAAAATCTACAGTTAATTTAATTTAACATTAAGGAAAATAACATAAATATAGTTAGTATGATTAGTCCTTGCATTTCTTAATTTCCTCTTTCTATCAGTTTCTAATAATTTTGTGGAACAGACCCAAGATTCTGAAATCATATTGTCTTTAAAAAGAAAAATGATTCTCTGCTTACAGTTTATGAAACAAAACCATTTCATATTGGTTTCATGTTAAATATTTGCTTTGTATCTCAAACATATACTTTGATGATACAAAATGGCAGTGTTTATGTCATAGCAAGAAAACTGACTCTACAGAACTGGAAGAATAAATCATCTTATGATGCAAAATAATGAAAAATAAATTCAGTTTCTCATGTTCCTGTGAAAATTTGGTATAGAGAATAAATGACAGAAATCTGAGACAATTTGGTCAGATATCCTTGCAATATTTGGTATTTTAGCTAATAGATAAATGAATGATATAATGGTGATTCCCTGCATACAGCAACATGGATTTCCAAAATCTCACCCAACACTTACATTCCATAATTTTGTACTGCATATTTTACTGTTTGTATGTAGGTTCTTTTTTGTAATAGAATGTATAATAAAAGTCAGATGAAGTAAGATCTCATAAGGTTAATTGATTCAATCACAAAATATATTTTTTCTTGCTGCTTTAACTCATAAGTGTTCTCATACATGCCAGAGGCTACAGCAGCATATGAAAATATCAATCAGTCAAGCTCTCCCCAGTCAGTGAGTTAGAAAGAACAAATCCACCTGAACATTGTCAGAATATCACCCTTGAGTTGGAATACAGAAGAACCTAAAGAATGGATGATATGCTCTATTATGGGACCTCACCCCAGCTATAGATTATCTCAAATATCAGTTACCTACAAAATGGATTTCACCCGAAGCTCTGAGTGCTTCAGGTAACATTTGAAATGTGAATATGAAAAAATATAACATTCAACATAGTATATTGTTATAAGGAAAATGAACATGTGAAGGGTTAGATGCCTGTTGGTAAAAATGATATCCAGCTCTATAACAAATGAGATGTAAACAGAGGAAGCACATCTGGGATACAGAGAGGCTAGAAGGATCTCATTTTGGAAGTTCTGAATTCATTTTCCTGAGGTGGACCAGGAGAAAAGCCCTCTTTTTACTGGCCCACCAATGACCATTCAAGGTCCTGAGTGGTTTCTGGCTCCCCACAGTATTCCATGCAGCCACAAAAAACCCTTGCAGAACACAGATCATGTTCAAGGCCAGAAGAGAGACAGTTCTCCATCTCCTTGCTCCTTATGCTTCCCAGAAATCAAATTCAAAGGAATCTCCAATTCAGTGGGGATTAAAGTATTTAATCTAATTTTGCAGCTTTTTAAAAAGACATGACGGGAAATAATAAGCCTTAGTAAGACCATGCTTAGAATACTGCATCCAATTTTGGTCACCATATTATAAAAAAAGATGTTGAGTCTCTGGAAAGAGTGCAGAAAAGAGCAACAAAGATCATTAGAGGGCTGGAGGCTAAAACAAATGAAGAATGGTTGCAGGAATTGGGTTTGTCTAATCAATAATAACAACAACAACAACAGCAACAACAACGTTGGAAGGGAGCTTGTAGGTCTTCTAGTCCAACCCCCTGCTCAGGCAGGAAACCCTATACCATTTCAGACAAATAGCTGTCCAGTCTCTTCTTAAAAACTTCCAGTGCTGGAGCATTCACAACTTCTGGAGGCAGGTTGTTCTACTGATTAATTGTTCTAACTATCAGGAAATTTCTCCTTAGTTCTAGGTTGCTTCTCTCTTTGACTAGTTTCCATCAGTTATTTCTTGTCCTGCCTTCAGGTACTTTGGAGAATAGATTGACTCCCTCTTCTTTGTGGCAACCTCTGAGATATTGGAACACTGCTATCATGTTACCCCTAGTCCTTCTCATCATTAAACTAGACATACCCAATTCCAGCAACCGTTCCTTATATGTTTTAGCCTCCAGTCCCCTAATCATCATTGTTCCTCTTCTCTGTACTCTTTCTAGAGTCTCAACATCTTTTTTACATTGTGGTGACCAAAACTGGATGCAGTATTCCAAGTGTGGTCTTACCAAGGCATTATAAATTGGTATTAACACTTCATGTGATCTTGATTCTATCCCTTTGTTAATGCAGCCTAGCACTGTGTTAGCTTTTTGGGCAGCTGCAGCACACTGCTGACTCATATTTAAGTGATTGTCCACTAGGACTCCGAGATCCCTTTCACAGTTACTACTACTGAGCCAGGTAGCACCTATACTGTATCTGTGCATTTGATTTTTCTTGCCTAAATGTAGAACCTTCCTTTTTTCACAATTGAATTTCATTTTGTTATATAGTGCCCAATGTTCAAGTTTGTCAAGATCCTCCTGTATCTTAAGCCTATCTTCTGGAGTGTTGGCTATTCCTGCCAGCTTGGTGTCGTCTGCAAATTTGATGAGTTCCCCATCTATCCCCTCATCCAAATCATTGATGAAGATGTTGAAGAGCACTAGGCCCAGAACAGAGCCCTGGGGCACCCCACTACACACTTCCCTCCATGTAGATGCAGTTCCATTGAGGACCACACGCTGAGCATGGCCAGTCAGCCAGCTAAGAATCCATCTGGTGATGATGCTGTCTAACTCACATTTTTCTATCTTATCAAGTAGTAGATTGTGGTCTATTTTATCAAATGCCTTACTGAAGTCCACGTAAATTATATCACCAGCATTCCTCTGGCCAAAGAATGCAATAAGTATGCAATAATATAGTGAAAAGAAGGACTAGGAACAGTGGTGGGATTCAAATATGTGAACAATCGATTCTCTGTGTGGATGCTGCTTCTGGATGTCCATTCTGGGCCTGGGCAACAAAAAATTAGCTACCAGTTCTGCCGAAGTGGTGCGAACCGGCTGAATCCCACCACTGACTAGGAGTGACATGATAGCAGTGTTCCAATATTTAAGGGCTGCCACAAAGAAGAGGGGTCAACCTATTTTCCATAGCACCAGAAGTCAAGACAAGAAACGAGAATTCTCCTAGAACTAAGGAGAAATTTCCTAATGATGACATCAATTAATCAGTGGAATGGCTTGCCTTCAGAAGTTGTGCGTGCTCCATCACTGGAGCTTTTAAGAAGAGACTAGACAGCCACTTGTCTGGACTGGTATGGGATCTCCTGCCTGAGCAGGGGGTTGGACTACAAGATCTTCAAGACCCCTTCCAACTCTGCTATTCTGTTATTCTGAATTTCCAAATATTCCATGCCAAGGTAATGGCAGAATAAGACCCTTTTTCATCAGAGTGCACCCATACACACAACCATGTGCTCAGACAATATTATCTTTGCTATGCACATCCAATGTTATTCCATATTTCACTACTTTGGAAGAATCCAAGTGGTCCATATTAACATATTTAAAATCTCAACAAAGTTTTAAAGGGATCAAATCCTTAGTGGGAATCTCCTCTGTGTTTGATCCTGCCTGGTTTCAAATTGCTCTGTGATTTTAAGAGAATGTGGACCTCAAAAATCTTAGTCTGGATTTCTTTGATAGAGGGCACTTCTGAAAGAGCTCATGTAACTGAATGCTCCTACAGGAAGAAAATTTCTCTTAGAAAAGAGCATGTGAATCTGAGGTTAATCATCCAAGAGAGGATGATTCCCTCAGTGGGGACTAGGCCAGTGGTCTCCATGCTTCATCATTTTAATTAGCACAATCATATATAATATAGCACATGTAGGAAGCCGGAACCTTTTTTACCTGCTTTTAAGTGAAATATTCAACTTGGGCAAAAGATCTTCAGGAGTATATGGTGCACTTTTGCATGTGGCATCAGAACTGCAAAGCACAGTTTGGAGAAATGGCAAGAATCCTGTGCTGGGAAGATTCCGAGGGGCCAGGTAACCTGAAAAAGATGAAACAAAGGATACAGCCATGGGAATTAGTGAAAAAAATATTTATCTGTTTTTTAAAAAATATGGAAAGTTTTTGGCAAAAAGAAATAGAACCATACACAAAAAGAAATGGTACAAATGAAGAACACTTTTTTTTAAAAGCAAAGACTCGTTCAGTGTAGAAATGAAATTTACAGGAAAACTGACCTGCTGCTGCAAAGGTACTTTTCATCATGGACTCCTGCTACAAATAATTCTAGTGCAAACATGAACTATTAGGTGCACATAAGTAATTAATAGTGCTATTAGGTTACATTGATTCAATTAATTAAATTAAAATTAATCCAACTTCATTAAAAACCATAGGTTGCCTCCAGTATTTACAATGGATCCACTGGAATATAGGTCAGCCTCATTGAGTGACCATAATCGGGACCAGCAACTGAGTTAGAATAGAATAGAATAGAATAGAACAGAATGGAACAGAACAGAACAGAACAGAACAGAGCAGAGCTGAAAGGGACCTTGAAGGTCTTCTAGTCCAGCTCCCGGCTCAAGCAGGAGAACTTATACCCGTAGTGGCGAACCTATGACACACGTGCCACAGGTGGCATGCAGAGCCCTCTCTATCAGCATGTGCGCCATCGCCCCAGTCCTAGGCCTTCAGCTGGGTTTTATAAAATCTTTTCGCTTTAGGCCTCCGCCGCTGTGTCCAAAAAAAAAAGGTTCAATCAATCAATTTCAACTTCTTGCGGGTAAAAAAAGATCTTGCAAAGTTGGAATTGATTGATTGAACTTTTTAGTCCCACCCAATCTGCTGTTACAACCACAGCCACGCCCACCCAATGGGCCACACCCACCCAATGGGCCATGCCCACACGGCACCTGATGATACATAAGTGGGTTTTCGGTTGCAGTTTGGGCATTTGGTCTCTAAAAGATTTGCCATCACTGACCTATACCATCTCAGACAAGTGACTGTCTAGCCTCTTTTTAAAAATGTCCAGTGATGGAGCACCCACGATTTCTGGAGGCAAGCTGTTCCACTGGTTTATTGTCCTCACTGTCAGGAAGTTTCTCCTTAATTCCATGTTGCTTCTCTCTTTGATCAGTTTCCAACCATTGTTTCTTGTCCTGCCCTCTGGTGCTTTGGAGAATAACATGACCCCCTCTTCTTTGTGGCAGCCCCTCAAATATTGGAAACTGCTATCATGTCATCCCTATTTCTTCTTTTCTTTAGACTAGCCAAAACAAGTCCTGCATCCGTTCTTCGTATGTTTTAGTCTCCAGGCCTTTGATCATCTTAGTTGCTCTTCTCTGAATTTTTTCTAAACTCTCAACATCTTTTATGTGATATGGTGACCAAAATTGGCTATAGGTGTGGTCTTACTAGGGTTTTATAAAGCGGTACTAATACTTTGCATGATCTTGGTTCTATGCCTTTGTTTATACAACCCAGGATTGTATTAGCTTTTTTGGCTACTGCTGCACACTGCTGGCTTATAGTCAAGTGATCGTCCATTAGGACTCCAAGGTCCCTCTCATAATTACTGTTTTTAAGCCAGGTCTCACCCAGTCTGTACTTGTACCTTTGATTTTTCCTGCCTAAATGTAAAACTTTGCTTTTCTCCACACTAAAACTCATTTTGTTGGATAGGGCCCATTGTTCAAGTTTGTCAAGATCTTCTTGGATCCTGAGTTTGTCTTCTGAGGTGTTGGATACTCCTACCAGTTTAGTGCCATCTGCAAATTTGATGAGTTCCCCTTCAATTCCCTCATCTAAGTCATTAATGAAGATATTGAAGAGTACTGGGCCTAAGAGGAAACCTTGTGGTACCCCACTGCTTACTTCTCTCCATGTGGATGTAATGCCATTGAGGATTACTCATTGAGTATGGTTTGTCAGCCAGCTACAGATCCATCTGGTGGTGATTTTGTCTATTCCACCTTTTTCTAGCTTACCAAGGAGTAGGTTGTGGTCTACTTTGTCAAATGCCTTACTGAAATCTACGTATACTACGTCCACAGCATTTTGCTGGTCTACTAGTTTAGTCACTTTATCAAAGAATGAAATAAGTTTGGTTTGGCATGATCTGTTTTTAACAAATCTGTGCTGGCTACTAGTTATAACTTTGTTGGCTTCTAGTTGTTCACAGACCTGTTTTTTTATTATCTTTTCTAGAATTTTCCCAGGTATTGATGTTAAACTGATTGGTCTGTAGTTTCCTGGATCCATTTTTTCCCCATTTCTTGAAGATGGGAACATCAGCCCTTTTCCAATCCTCAGGTATTTCCCTGGTGCTCCAAGATTTTTGAAACACATGGTGCAGTGGTTCTGAGATAACATCTGCCAGCTCCTTCAGAACTCTAAGATGTAGTCTGTCGGGTCCCGGTGATTTATATTCGTCAAGGTCGGATAGGTGTTCTCTTACCATTTTCCTGCTTATTTTAATTTTTGTTTCTAGTTTGTCTTTTGCAGTGGGTTTTTTTTTGGGGTATGTTGGGCTGTAGTTTCTTTTTGTGTGAAAACTGATGCGAAGAATGAGTTAAGCAGCTCTGCTTTCTCCCTGTTGCCTGTTATTTCCTTGCCATCCTCTATCTTTAGTGGACCTACAGTTTCCTTAACTTTTTTTCTTGTTGTTAATATGTTGGAAGAAACTGTTTTTATTATCCTTGATTTCTGTTGCAAGTCTTTGTCTGTTCTGAGCCTTTGCTTTCTTGGCTTCATCTTTGAATGTTCTGGCTGTCTGCTGATAATCAGTTAACATTTGTTAACTGGTTGGCAAAGAGTTCATCTATTTCTTCTGATTGGTTGGATGGCCTGTAATATACACCTATGGCAATGTCACTTTTTTTCTCTTTTATATTGACCCATATATATTCTGGAGAGATTTTATCTTTGATCATGTACATTTCTGTAGATATGTAGTGTTCTTTTACATAGTGCAACTCCCACTCCTCTTTTTGTAGACCTGTTTCTTTTGAACAATTTGTATCTATCCATCAGTTCATTCCAGTCCTGGGTTTCATCCCACCAGGTTTCTATTATGCCAACTTTGTCATACCCACCCTCGTGTACTATTGCTTCTAGTTCGCCCTATTTGTTCCCCAAGCTTTGAGCATTTGTATATAAGCATTTAAGGCTTTTATGCCTGTCCGTGGGTATGTTTCCTACATCTCCTGATTGTTGTTTGAGTTTTTCTTTTTCTCATCACTGCCTACCTCATTGTTTGATTTGTTTTCTTGGGATTTATTATTGGTTTTGTGTTCTAGAGGTTCTAAAGATTGCTCACCCTTTCCCTTCAATTTTAGTTTAAAGCCCTCCTGATGAGTTAGGCCAGTCTTTTTCTAAGTACATTTTTCCCTGTTTTTGTGAGGTGCCGCCCATCCCTTGCTAAGAGTGCTTCATGTAGGAAATGCAGTCCATGATCCAGGAAACCAAAGTTTTCTTGGTGACACCAACCCTTTAGTCAACGGTTTATTTCTAGAATTCTTTTTTCCCTCAATGGGCGTTGGCCTTTCGTTGGTAGTACTGATGAGAACACTACTTGTGCTCCTAGCTCTTTAACTTTATTGCCTAGTTGCTTATAGTCTCTCAGTATTGTGCTCAGGTTCTTTGTTGCGTCATTCGTCCCAATGTGAAGGAGTAGGAGAGGGTAGTAATCTGTGGGCCTAACTATTTTGGTAGGTTCTCAGCCATGTCTTTGATTTTTGCTCCAGGGAGACAACATACTTCCCTCGATTGTATGTCCGGTCTGCAGATGGATGATTCTGTTCCTTTGAGGATAGAATCTCTTATCACCAACACTCGCCTTCTTTTGGGGGGGGGGCTGCAGTCTGGGGTGCTTTTCTGTTTATCTCTGGTATGTTTGTTGATGTGACTTTTTTAGGAATATTCAAAGTTGTTTCTTTGCTAGGTGTCTACATGTTTTCTTTGAGGGGGAGGTTGTGGGTCTGCGTGTTTCCATCTAAGGGGAAAAATCAATTGCTCAGTTTTAATGGGGCTGCTTCTGGTTGGGTTGGATTGGGCAGAAAGGATTTGTTAGTTGTATGCTGCTTCTTTTTTTAGTATTGTGTTTCCCTCTATATGTGACATACCTCCATTTGTCTTACTCCAAGGGTTTATCAGTAGGGTCAAATCCTCTGGGTGTTATTTGTTCATTATTTGGTTCAGTTTGGCTAGAGCTTTCTTTTGTACATTGGGGTTTGGCTAGAGTTGCCTCTAAGTCCCTTAATTTTTCCTCCAGTAGTTTACATAGTTTACATCTAATGCATGTATAGTTTGGGTGTTCTTTGGGCATAAGCACATACATGGAACATGTATTGCATACCACAATAGCATCAGTCATCTGTTCCATGAGTTTGTTGTTTGAAAATCCCTCTTTTTGGTTGGTGGATGTGCTTTGCTGTTAGCCTTGTTTCTAGCTTCCCTGTTCTAGATAATTATGCCTATTTCTATCCTTTTTTCTGCCTGTTTGTGCTTGTTTTTTGCCTTGTTATTTAGGTATAGATAAAAGTATGTGGTAGTATGCCCTTTGATTTTAAAGGGAAAACAAGCAGTTTATATTGAAGTTAAAAGTTAATGTTAGGATAGAGCTATTTAACAAAGGGAAGGGCTGCTTTCTCCTCAACAAGGGATTTGCTTTTAGCTTTCTGCTCTCTGCCTAAAAATTCATCCCTTGTTTTCTGAACTGTCAGCCAAGTATTTTTTCTTTAAGAATAATAAATTGCAATTTCAGGATTAGCTACAAGATGTCACCCCACTGTTTAAGGAATTCCTTTAAATCTCAAAGTTATTTTAATCCTTTTGGGTTTTTCTTCTATTTTAAGAGGAAAAAACCAGACTTTCAAATAAAAATAGAAAGTAAATAATCAAAAATCTTTAAATCCACAAGCTTTAGGAAATAAAGTTCCAATTGGAATCCAATTATTTTTTCAACGTTTTCAAAACTTCCCTGTATATTCAATCGCTGCTGTTTCTAGAGGGATGGCTAAAATCCCCCTTCCCTCT